ATCGATAATAAATGTAGGAATAAATAGAATTTTACATGTATAAATACTGGGATCCTTCAAGTGAAAAACTATACAACAACCATGCAGAGCCCAAGGTTTTTCATCGTGCTGTGTGTTGCTTTAATTGCTTCTTTCTTTGAAGTTGGTGTCACTCAAAGAGTTGGTAAGTTATATGTTTTTATTGTTTCAAAGAAAACATTTGAATTTAACTTAATCTATGTTTCACATTTGAGTCCATCTTTCTGCGTAAATTCTGGTAAAATTTATTTTAAGTTTTCAAATCCATAATAGTTTTTTCAATGAAAAGCTGTCGTTTGACCCAAGGACAGATCCACCCTTGGTTATGGAAGCGTACAGAGCTCTACACTTGTTGTTACATTGTATAACTTTGTATATAATGTATTTTATCGTCTAATCAGTAATCAGTAAACATTTATAAAGTGTTATACCTCCTTATTTATGCACATATTTTTTTGAATTGTATTCTGATGTGTTTTGTTCATATAATTAAAGGTAATTTGCTTTGTTCTATATTTCTTTTTCTAAACACATTTTCTTATTAATACCCCCAGTCTATATCAATATTTCAGGAACATAAGCAAAATTTAATATTAATGTTTTTTATTAAAATTAAAATATCTGAAGGGTTCTTGATTATATATTTTTTTTCAGAAAGGGGCTTTTTGTCATAGATGGTCAAACCTTGTTATGTTGTAGAAGAGAAATGTTATGATTATATAATGCTTATAAAACTGGATACCTTGCAAACTAGATGTCTCCGTAGAATACTGAAGATATTCTGGCCAAACAAGATCACCAACGAGGAGCTGTATGAAAGAACATGCACAGCTGCTATATCGGACCAGATTAAAGAAAGACGCTGGAAATGGATTGGCCATGTGATGAGGATGAAACCATCAGAGATACCAAGGGTGGCCCTAAGATGGACTCCACCAGGAAGGAGAAACAGAGGGCGACCAAAGGAGACATGGCGACGGTCGGTTGAAAAGGAAATGAATGATCAAGGGTGGACTTGGGGCACTGTACAGACAATGGCAGCAGACAGACAGAGATGGAGGTCCTCGGTGCAGGCCTTATGTGCTCAAAGCACGAAGAGGACTAAGTAAGTAAGTATAAAACATGACGAACTGTCAAGTAGAATATTTTGTTATATGAACTTATACTTATTTCACATGATCTGAGAAGAGACCTGTGAAGAGTGCGTCAATAATGCAGGCTACAATGAAGCATGCGTCTGTGTGGTGGACAAAAACAGTTGTGAAAATGTTCAGGAAATAAAAAAAATTGTGGGAGATAAAGCGAAAGTAGATTGCTTTGGAAATGATCCATAAGGTATGTTCATAATGTATCTTTTATTTATTCTTTTTATTTTAATCTGTGTGATTTATCTAGCATTTTAAAAAAAAATCACTCAAGAAATCTGATCTTGAAATAATCAAGATATGTTATCTCCCGAAGAATTAATCAGTAATTAGATAAATTCTCAATAAAATGATTAAAAGGAATATTTGGTAAAGTATTCTGAAGTTATCATGATATGTGAGTATAACCAAAAAATCCAGAAAATTGCAAAAGATTAAATGTTTAGAATTATTAATTCATTGTCATTCAATTTAACAATTAAAAATGTCAAAGAGTATTATCTCAATCAATTTAAAGTTATCAGACAAAATAAATTCTACGTCTTAAGAAAAAGCTGAGATACAGACTTACTTCAAAGTTACGAATTTTCTTATTTCATATTCCGGAGGGACAAATCACATTCCTTGTCTATACGAATTCATTAACACATACGGAAATATAGGGAATCTAAATAATTCTTCAAATTAAAATACAATAAATATGGTGAAGCAAGATTACAAGTAAAATAATTGATAATATACATCGAAATAATACTTTAGAAGACATTATTATACAACTAATTTGATTATATCCTTAAAATATAGTTTTAATTTCGTAAAATATCTAAGTCTATACAACATTTGTCAATCTGACTTTTCTCTGTTAAACTTTTACAAACGGTGGCAAATAATACATAACAAAGCTGGCTAAATTTTAAATTACACTTAGCTAAAATATATTTTATTTAGATAATGTATAAAACATTACCAATTCACTCTGAGTGTCGTCTAAAATATATAAATATTACGCAGATTTAAAATGACTGAACACGCGTTATTTGATTTTAGTATTGTATGGCCAGTTTAACATGACCTTTCTTTTTATAGGTTGATACATTCATTACGCTATTTCTATTGTGTAACTCATTCAATTCATTTATTTTCTTTATCTTTTAGATTCCAAAATGGATTTTTCTGAAGACTGGACACACGCTGATGTGTGGAAAGATAAATAAAGATCTGAATCTTCATTTATTCATTTGTTTAATTACTGAATGACTTATATAACCATGTAGATTTGGAGAATAAGTAAGATCCTAACCATTAACCGTTTTTCTGTCGCATATGGAGAGGAAGTAATGTTGACGGGAAATAAAATGGCGGTACTGTGGGGCCATCATAAAACGTGAATGAGAAAGCTTTTCTCTATGGTCTTTGAATAGAAAGCTCAAGAACTAATGAAATGAAACATATGAAGATAACAAAAAGCATTCAAGATCAAAATTCCATAAATAATAAAAGATAAAATCAGAGAAAATACGGACCTCCAAAACATTAGAAGTGGGATCAGGTGCCATGAAGGAATGAGCATCCCCTGCCTACCTGTCACACCCAACATTGTCATTATCTGCAAAAAAAACGGAAAATCCGTTGTCAGTTCAGTGTATAAATAATGGACTAACAATTAGTATGAGAAATGTCAGTCAGCATTTGGCTCAATGATAAATTGTATTTGCCGACAAGGTCATTGTTTTAACCATAGAACTTACGAAATGATGACTTTAAACGAGACTGCTCATTTCATTAATAAATAACGCTAAGTAATAACATTTCAAAAAGTTGTCTTAATTTTACACAATCAATGTAAATTAAAGAACATGCATGTATTTGTATGACATGTGTATTTTTTAGGAGGGGAAGTAATATTTCATAACCTTACAATTTTAATACTTCATACAAAACATCAGGGGTCCGTTTTCCAGAAGACCTTACACCTAAGACCAAAAACTTGAGATGGTTGTAAAATTTTTCAAAACTAATAATTCTGTTTAAAATTGCTAGCTAAAAATATCTCACTACATTTCTTTCTAAAAGATTGAACCCATTTTCAATATAATGTAAATAAAGAAGTTATTAGTAAATTTAATTTTTGGTCTTAACTATTTTCCACTCATCAAATAGTCCATTTTCTTCCTCCTCCAAATATGTTCTGATCTGACAAATACAATCATTCCAAGTCAACTTACAAATCCTTATTCATAATGGACTCTCAATATATTTGTTGTGAATAACAGATTTAAAGAAATAAATTGAGTTAAAGATCATGAAATGGGTATAAAATGCCCTCATGAGAGAATGGAAGTTAGATGATGAGAGAGAGGGATCTAATATGTGTTGCATGCGATCACCACTCTTTAATTAAAAATTATTTAAATATTATCATATTGTACTTACCTGTGATGTTCTAAGATGTGGGAATCATGTACAGACCCAGGCCAGGATGCATTAATATTTGTAACTTTTCCTGTAATAGATGTAGTTAAGTAGCAGTTATAGTTATCAACAACTAGTAATTGATTATTACTTAAATTGTATCCTTATTGAATTGATTTCAAACACATGCACTTTCTACGAGGTGGGGGAGGGTGGGGGCAGGTGGTGCATTATTTAATATTAATCCCGCACCTCAGATCTCCAGATTTCCGCATTATTCCGCATTTTTTCCTCATTTTAATATGGAAAAAATGTGGAAAAAAATACGGAGAAAATTAACAATACGGAAAAGCAGAAAATATACGGAAATAATCCGGAAAATAAACGGAAATAATATGGAGAATTGGACTTAGTCTATTTTTCATCTGGAAAAATATTGAACTCTTAACTTAGAATATTTTTCATCCGGAAAAAATACGGAGCTCTGGACTTAGAATTTTTTCATCAAGAACAAGATGTGTTTGTGAGACACAGTATTACCTGGCGGCAACATTAAGTTCTAAAAAGCAATTTTTAGCAAATGGGTCTCAGTCAAGGTCACACAATCATTGTTCTTGGTGTCATTTGAAAGCACTTTATTAGTGTAGTATGCATACCAAATATTAAGTCTCTATCATCTATGGTTCAAAAGTTATGGCGAAAATTCGAAAAAAGCTATATTTAGCACATAGGTCACAATCAAGGTCACAAGGTCATTGATCTTGGTGTCAGTTGAATGTGCCTAATTAGTGGAGTATGCATACCAAATATGAAGTCTCTATCTCTCACGGTTTTAAAGTTATGGCGAAAGTTCGAAAAAGCTATTTTTAGCATAAAGGTCCCAGTCAAGGTCACTGACCTTGGTGTCAGTTGAAAGTGCCTAATTAGTGGAGTATGCATACAAAATATGAAGTCTCTATCTCTCACCGTTCAGAAGTTATGGCGAAAGTTCCAAAAAGCTATTTTTAGCATAAAGGTTACAGTCATGGTCACAAGGTCATTGACCTTGGTGTCAGTTGAAAGTGCCTAATTAGTGGAGTATGCATATACCAAATATGAAGTCTCTATCTCTCATGGTTCAGAAGTTATGGCGAAAGTTCAAAAAAGCTATTTTTAGCATAAAGGTCACAATCAAGGTCATAAGGTCATTGACCTTGGTGTCAGTTGAAAGTGTTTTTGTAGTGGAGTATCCATACCAAATATGAAGTCTCTAAGTCTCACAGTTCAAAAGTTATGGCGAAGGTTGACAACAGACAAACAAACAGACAGACATACAGCTATATAAACAGACAGACAGGACAAAAACAATATGCGCCCCGAAAAAATTTGGGTGCATAAAAACTGTCTTGGAGTTAACAGCAGTTTCTCTGTTTCTCCTGAATGTTATGTACAATTTGATCGGGATCGGAAGAATGTTTCAAAAAGTCGGGCTCAGTGATCAATTAATTTAAACAACAGACCGCCAAAATTTAACCTTGGCCTCCATGTTGCAACGTCTGCTCTGTCTAAAGGAAGAAGTTTGTTGACCAGACAGCCTGAGATCGTATTGCTGTATCAACCAAAAGATGCAGATACACGTATTTCATATGCGGTAGGTCAGTCATATTTTTTTAACATGTGTCTCACTGTGATGATGAAAATAAATACTCTAGGCCTAGGACTGAGCTACCAGGCTACGTACGTTTCAGCCAATATGCCCATGATTCAAATCTTTCAATCAGCTCATAGAATTTTATTATGGTTAACCACAATTAAAGGTGTTAATTTTGGGGAGCCATGGGGTGTAATCTCTAGCAATGATTTACCATACATTTTTTTTTTGGTAGCGTCTGTGCATGAGGAGGAGATTTCTGAATATTCAACTTACTGCGATTTTAACGGGCTTAAAGCTTGGTCCATGGATGGTTATGTTTGAGGTATATATATTCTTTTTTTTCTTTTTTTATTGCTTGTTTAATTAAAAACAGTCAACTATGATTGTCATTATTATAAATAATATTTTAAACAAATTGATATTAAATTGAAGAACCCAAACTTGTGTTTATAAAAAGATTTGAAAAGGAATAAAAGCAATGAATTTAAATTTTATTAATATTGCACCATTATAATTTAAGTACTTTTTTTTAATTGATAGGATTTGCCAATTCGACCGCAAGTGCTGCTGCAAGAAATTAAACATGCAGAGACCTTACAAATTACAAAGAAGTCTGAAGAAAATTTTTATTGGACAGATGGGTGTAAAGCACAGACCTGAGATATAAATTGAATTGTGAGAAATATGAATCAGGGATGCAGGTAGAAAATGGCAAATGTGATCCAGATTGATAAAAAATGTCTAAAATTTTTTCTTGTTTTGTAAATATTCAATGCTATGTCAATTGTTATTTTTTCCCCAATACCTAATAGTGTTGAACATTTCACTCCCACTTTTGCTTAAATAGAATGAATAAATTTCCATTTATTTAATATGAATATTAAAAAATGCCACATTTTTTCCATGATGAACTTGTGGCTTAAATAAGAGTTCCAGTTTTTTTTCCATACATGCTCCTATTTGTTTGTCAAAGATATAAGATCCAATACATTGCTCATGAACATAATGTGTAATTTTGTTCATTCATTTATATGTTTTTTTCTCATAATGATATAATAAATTGTATATAATTTTGCACATTGTTGATGGTTTTGTAAATATTTATGTATGTATGCATCATGTAGCGGTTTTATTAGCCATTTTATTACCATGTGATTAACTCCGTATTTTCTCCAGATTTCCGTATTTCCGCATTTTATCAACCAAGTAAATACCTCCATATTTTGTATATATGGAAATGCGGAAATCTGGAGAGAATACGGAAAAAGAGTCCAAATACTCCCATCCACATTTTCTCCATATTTTGAATACGGAGAAAATCTGGAAATTTGAATCTACGAAAATCTGGAATGAATGCGGAAAATTAGTCCAAATACTCTCGTCCGCATTTTTTCCTTATTTTGAATAAGGAAAAAATGTGGAGATCTGAGGTGCGGGATATAACTTTGGAGGACATTACTTGCAATGTTCATAGATTCAATGTAATATATTCAATAACCAATTGCAAATACATATGGAAAATACATAATGTATATCATTCAAGATTAGATTCATAAAAAAAAATAAATATTGGACTAAAATTATTTTTATTTTAAATTATTTTTTATATTCACACCTATATCTTCAGATCAATCTCTTTTTCATTTTTTATTTACCACATGAATTTATTTTTCTTTTACATGCACTACTCTTTTGTGACAATGCACTGATGTATTTTAACATGTACTTGCTGTAAAATGAATACTCAGTAGAGGGATCCGCCACATTATTTTTCGACGGGGAGGTTTCTCTACATGACATGCATAGATCATTTTAAAAAATCGTTTAAACAATGAATACACAACTATAGTACGATAATTAGGAAGAGGGATTGTTAAAGGATGTGTGGAAAACCTATTAATTCAATACATGTATATAGAAATTACGAAGTTTTAGTACATGTTTGAAAACCCCATCGATAGAAAATGATACAAGGGGCCTTAAAAAGTCAGTTATATTTACAATCACATACACATGGTCACATACAGCTTGGACATTGATGATGTGGTATCCTTTCCTATTTACGAAGAAATTTTCGTCCTGTGATGGGGCCTGGATCCGCGTACATGAGTCCCATCAATGCATCCGACTACATTGGGGAAACCTGCTAGCCGGTAAACCCTGTTTTAATGCAATTTTTTTTTTGTTGCTTCAGGCCACTGAATAAAAGTGTCAGCTTTCGCAACCAGTGCTTCGGTGACTCTCTTAATGGTGCGGGATACTCTCCTTTTGTCAAACCCTGTCCAAACTTGAGTATCATGTATATTTTTTTCTATATGGAAAGACTATTTAATTAGCGTTTTGCGTTTAATCATACAGGATATAACTACGAAATTTTCAAAGCACTGTGTCGTAGCTATTTTACTTGAACTTTCATCATAAAATTTCAACTTGAGTTTATTTTATAACAATTATGTAAAACATGTTCTATAGTCTTTTAATTGTACCTAGAGTATCCCCGACAACCTGCAAAAAGCTGCCACTTGCAAGGTAGCGCAAGGTAATCATTACTTGATGCTGGACGCTATGCGCACAGTTCCTATTGGTGGCTCTTTCCAAGTCATTTTTCTTCTTAATTCAGCATCAGTCCAACCCTCTAATTTCGTGTGAAGTCGAAAAACACGCTGTTTTCTAGGTCCAGGCGGGTGATTTAAAAAGTTGGCGGCCATATTTAATCACGGTATTAACTTCTTAATCTACCTACCGTAGGTGGATTAAATCTAACACAGATTTAACACCTTGTTATTGAACAGCACTTAACAATGTGGTTAAATTTAACACATTATTTAACACAGAGTAAACACTAAACACCTTTTGAACAACCAGGCCCAGAAGAATGGAAATTTATCTAGAAACATTAATATATTTATGTAGATATTTATTGTATCCCAAACAACAGGAATACAAGTGAAAAGGGTAGAAAGAAGAAAAAAAAAGAATATGATATGATTTTTAAGATTCCTTAAATGGGAGGAGTTCGTGCAACAACCTTTTAAGAAATCACAATTTAAGGAATATCTTACGAGAAATGTAAGACAAAATAAAAACTTTGTAACAGCCATTAAGACTACATATTTAGCAAATTTTAAAAACATATTCATAACTTTTAGGCTTGTTATCAATAAAGAATGATTCCATCGAAGCAATGAAAAAAAACCCTCTCATTTCCCTATCTGCACATTCTAACACAACTACAAATAGATCGGCCGCTGCGGCCGATAGTGACTTAAGCTGCATATTTCCAATCCTGCCAGTTAATATTCCGCGGTTTTAAAATTTATAAAGATTCTAAAGTTTGAGATCTAGAATGAGGTAAAAAACGAGTTTTACTTTATTTAATTTCATGGACGTGTAACTATTTTCACAGCCTTCAAATAAAATTGTTTTTATATCTCAACTTTACAAAAACAGCCGAGTGATATTGCGATTAATATTGACTCGTGACTTTGACGCTAAATGATTACGTCCCCCCTTTTGTTGAAAACAGGGGTTTGAGGAAGTTCTAAACATAAAAAAAGAGATATCTCTTTAACTTACAAAGATATCTCTCTGAAGAAAGAGTTATCTCTATTCACGAAAGAGATATCTCTTAGAAAAAGAGATATCTCACTAAGTAAACGAGATATCTCGCCGAGTATAAGAGATGTCTTTTTCTTAGAGAGATATCTCTTAAAGAAAGATATGGAGATAACGAACAGTATTCAATATCAAAGTTCATGAAACAATACGAAATAGGAGAAGAGCAAACACGGACCTACGAAACATCAGAGGTTGGATCAGGTGCCATGAAGGAGTTAGTATCCCCTGCTGACCGGTCACACCCGCCGTGTGCTCTTTGTCATGGTCGGGAAATAACGGAGATATCCGTCGTCAACTCAGTGTATAAACAATGGACTAACAATTAGTATGAAAAACGTCAGTCAGCATTCGACTCAATGATGAATTGTATTTGCTGTCAAGGTCATTGTATCGACCTTAGAACTTACGAAATGATGACTTTAAACGAGACTGCTGATATTCTTGTTTCATCAACTTGCTTGTCAAGGGTGAAACAACATGGCGTTCGAAGGGAGCGGACGTGTCTATTGAGACGCTCTTTTTCCAACCGGTATCTGGCTGATTAACTTGTTGGCTGTGTTACTATGTGTTACTATATGATGTCCCTATGTTGATATATCCTATTTGAAGATTCTATTCTGATATTTGGGTGCATTTTTTGCAGTGTTTTGTCAAAAAAGAGTGTTTCTATATATAGCGATACAGGTAAACGGGCAATAGTGCTATAGTGAGACGTGTTCACCTGTTCACTCCGTGTTAAACGTGCGTGAAGGAATTATTAAAAACACTCGCTTATTCCAAAATTATTCCAAAATGCCGGGGTCGGGTACAAAGAAAGCTTCTAAAGAAAAAGAAAAAGGGGATTCCGACGTGGAGTTCAGTTTTGAAGAGGTAAGCAAGTCACTTGATAAAATCCAAAGCGACATAAATGAAGTGAAACATGACCTGAAGAAAACGGTCAAGGATGAGAAACTTGAAGCTCTTGTGACAAATATTATTAAAAATCTCCTCAAAGAAAATAATAAAGAACAAGAAACCATTATTAAAACTGAGGTTGACAAACGCTGTAAACTCATAGAAGAGAACTATAACAAGAAGATAGAAAGAATGAATCAGAATATTGAGGCACTTGAGGGGAAAGTGGAGAATTTAACTGAAAAACTCCATGAATGCAAAAAAGAATTGCGCGAATCCAAACAACTCCAAGAAGAAACGCAACAAATATCAGTGGAGGCTCTTCGGCGAAGCAACTATAACGAGCAGTATTCTCGCAAGCACAATTTCAAAATTATGGGCCTTCCTGAGGATAAAAAGGAAAACACATGGGAACTAGCCAAAAATTTCATTGAAGAGAACGCAGAAGTCGAATTACATGATCACGAAATTGTAGCAATACATAGGATTCCTGGGGAAGCGGGAAAACACCGACCAATACTGGTAAAGGTCCTAAACACAGACGTGAAGGCAAGGGTGATGAGGAAAAGATCAACGATCAAAGGAATGGGCAATGGGCTTAAATTAGTTGATGATGTGACACGTGCAAACGCCGAGTTAATCAACCAGCTATTGCAATTCCAGGAAATTGAAAGTGCATGGTATTTCAATGGTGCAGTGTATGGAAAACATAAAAACAACAAAAACAAAAGAATAAAATTTGACATCACAGACGACATAAAAGCAAAATTGAGAAAATTCAAAGATCATTCCGAGAAAAACATTCCTGAAGACGAGTGAATCCAGAAAATCAATATCTGCTTTGTTCTGTTCGGTTTTGTGTTTACGATGTGAATTCGGAAAAATAATATCTGCTTTGTTCTGTTCGGTTTTGTGTTTACGATGTGAATCCGGAAAAACAATATCCGTTTTGTTCTGTTCGGTTCTGTGTTTGCGATGTATCAATGCCAGTCAAGTTCCGGTTTGTGAGAAACAAGAACGCATTGGACAGTGCAGTGGCACGCCTACCTCTGTCTCTCTTTAACATTTGTTTTTTTTTCTTTTGCAAATTGTATGGGTCTGAGGGTGAGTGGTGTGTATGCGGGTGAATGGAAAATCTATAAGATACAAAATGGTTGATACAATAAAAATTGCAACTGTGAATTGTCAAGGGTTAGCGACGCCGTCTAAGCGACAAGATGTTCTAAATTTCTATAAAACAAAAAAATATTCTATATTATGTATTCAAGACACACATTTTATTTCTGAAATAGAACCATATGTGGAAGCACAGTGGAGATACAAATGTATTTTTAATTCTTTCAGATCAAATTCAAGGGGAGTATGTATATTGTTTAATAATGATTTTGAATTTAAGATTCACAAAGAAAAGACAGACAATGATGGTAATTTTTTAGCTTTAGACCTTACAATTGAAGAAAACAAAGTCACTTTGATAAATATCTATGGGCCAAATTGTGATAGCCCGGAATTTTACGAAAATGTAAGAGACGCTTTTTTAGAGTTTGATAACGATTATTATA